ATCTTCCGATAATTCGGAAGGAAATCGATGCAGACGACCGTCATCTGAAATTACGAAAACCTATCAATGTCTATCACAGAAAACTCCCTGAAAACAAGACTGATTTTATTCCACAAAAAAAGCCGTACCTACAAGGATACCTGATGCGACCATGCGTTTGGTGCAAATCTGTCTAGCAAATGCTTGCTTCGAAAACGTTTAATGCCTTGTTGCAGTGAATTTAATTTTTAGCCGAACAGAACATTGCGACGCTTCGCATTTGCGGAAATCGTCGGAATTTTCTGCTCGGTTAAAAGTTACACTTTTCTATACGTGAGATAGAGACATGCGTGGGTGTCCAGTTTAAAATTTCCTGAGCCGCATATGAACAGAAGACATCCGCTTGAAGTTTCCGCCTTCTGTCTTGTTTGGTTCCGGAGTTAGAAAATTTCCTGCTAAAATACACGCATTTGTATGTGAAGGATGGGAGCACGTGAAAGCAGAAACTAAAATCGCCGGCCCCTCATATGGGAATGTAACATCCTCCTTAAATTTTAGTTTCTAATTTTTGTGGCCTCACAATAAGTAATTTTCCGGTGAAAATCACATTTGTTCGTGCGTGAGACTAGATGCACATGAGATCTGAACTTGAAATCGTTGGGTTGCACATAAGCACTGAGCCCTCTAAGAAAACAATCGCGTAGAATTTCAGCTTCCTAACATTTGCAGTCCCCGAGTTAGTTATTTTTGCGCCAAATCTTTCACGTGACCGTGCATGAGGCCTAGCGCACGCTAAGGCTGAATTTAAATGTGCGGGTCGCACGTGGGGACATCGTCCCTGAAACTCCAATCTCCTAGCTTTAGTGGTTCCCAAGTTAACCTTTGCGCCAAAACTCCCACGTGGTCAAACGTGAGACCCAGGCAGATTTAGACTGGATTTCAATTTGCGGGCCGTACGTGGGTAGAGGACATTCTCAAAAATTTTAACTCCCTGGTTTTTCTGGTTCCCGAATTGAAAACCTGGAATAAAATCCAGTCGGACACATACATACACATACACGCATATACATTACACACACACACACGCAGAGGATCTCGACAATATGCGTTTTGTGTAACTGCTGCAGCATAAAACGTATAAAAAAGTCTTCTCACTTACCCGCTGTTCGTTTTTTCTTTAAATGTACCAAGAATTTAATAAGCAATCAATTTGTTTGCTTTTTCATTCGCACAGTTCAAAACACAGACTAAAAAAAGAACCTTCCGTTTCATTCTTGTGGCTCTCCTCATCATCGTGCGCATCTTCAAATACAAGTGCTTTATCCAGTTCCTGATCCACCGTACGGGCCATGGATTCGTGGCGCACAAAGAACTGTAGGTTAATAAAAATATCATTACATTTCATCATTGTCAAATTCATATTCAAAAGATGGCGATGCGCTAAAATAAGTGGCATGATAACTACATTATCAAAAAGTAGCCAAACTGGTACACAACTGCATCCGCATATTAGCACTGTCAGCTTCATCATATGCGTCATGCGTT